GTAGGAAAGATAAAAAACTTCTAGGTCATGCGGGCTGACCTTCTACAGTTTTCATCCGCCCACTTCCCCGACGTAGTTGCAGTCGTACTCATTGCAGCGGTATCTGCAGCCAACTAGCGGAGTTTCGCGCCGGTATTGGGTCTCACACACAGCGACAAATCGCAACCTGGAATCTGTCGGTCATGCTTACCGCAAGGGATCGCAGCTACTGGGACGTGATGCTTCCAGTGGGAGGCTGCATCCATTCAAAGCTGTTCTTCAGTGACGGCACGCGAGCTAGTGTGTCGACTCCAGCTAGTAGCAGCCGTCGCGGTAGACGGTCCTCGTATGTCTGAGTGGTGCGTCAATAAACGACCTGAATAATTGGATCGATACATTTCTCCATAGATTTCGAACCAACCTCCTGTTTGCTCTGTGATTACCCTTGTCCTCTTTTTCGAATTCTCATTCTGTATCGACACTTTTCTTAGCAACTTTCTAAAAAATAGGGATTTCGTCTACACTTCGGTCAGTAAAACTGACTTGAAGTTGACTGTTTAACTCTTTTAAATCGAGTTCAGTAGGAGGTAAAAAGTGTTCGCCTACCTTTCTCTCAATAAAACTTAACTGAGCCGAACTAAATTGCTGAACTCCTTTGAACCTGACCTATTCCAAACAGTCAAGGCCTAAAGCTAAGCCAGACGGCGTTTCTTGAAAAAATAGGCCCTGAATCTTCCTAAAAAAAACCCCGCGCTGAGCACCTGTGAAGAAGGAGACAAAGCTTGCATCACTAACGATTGTTTTGCAAGCGCGAGCGCGACAAACGACTGGCAAGGTTCTGAATTTGATTTTATTTAATATCATGTACCACCCTACCATTTTGTTTTTGTTGTTGTTCTCGTTGAACAGAGAACTATTGCAGAGGTTGTTTTTAAGTTTGGTTCAGTCGAACGGTGCTAACGGCTGTGGAAAATCAATTCATGAGTAGGAAAAATACCAACTCAAGTCAAAGTAAGAACTTACGCGCAATCGAAATGTGCCTTGCAGAGGGGATGAGACAGGATCTGCTCTCTACAGTCCTCTGAGAGCTTACAAATACGAAGGCGAGAAAAGAGTCTTGGAAAAGCTTCAGCACGTCCAGTACTGGCAATGTTCCGCGTTGATGAGGGTCGATAAGTTCCTGCATTGTCCACCCAGCTGACAATAGCCCGGAAAACATCATCCTCGCTAGTGACTGATAAGTCGTCTCGGACTAGCAAGTCTTCCAATTCGGCCGTTTTAAGAGCTAGAAAGGCTTGGGTGCCAATAAATTCTTGAAAATTGGCGCACATGTAGGACTTCAACATTTCCTGCAACTCGAAGAGGTCATTTGCATGGGCAAATGGCCAGTACTGTTGCACAACGTCAGCGTTCAATCTAAAAAGATAACACTGCGGGCAATGTTTGTACTGAATTAGCGAAAGTAGCCATATTTTAGGAATTAAAAAGGCACACAAGGCCCCCATAATCTGTTGTCGGCTGAATCATGAACACAAAAGTCTCAACTACGTAGCTTAGTATCGTTAGGAGTCCATCTATTCGACAGAAAGGAACTGACAATTAGGTCGGTTAGGTACCCTATTTTAGATATTGCTTTCTATTCCGTGTTCCTGTCCTTTTTAAGTACGAAACAGCTTTTAGTAAGCCTCACCGTGACACAAACTTGCGCCATTTTAAAGTTCGCAGTGAATCAGAGTGAACTGCTTACAAAACCAAGCACTACTAATTTCCACGCCGACCTCCAGTTGGGGGTTAAACGGCCGAATAGACCCAAGCTTACCGTTGGCGTAGGAAGTCCAAGCACATTTCTTCCAGTTTCTGCACTTGGAATAGTTTCGCTGCTAAAATAACCCCCCGCAGGTCATTCCCCTCCTCCTCCTGCATCGCCGACGTGGGATTGAACTCGCCTGAGTAAGCAAACTGCAAAAGTGTGCGTACGGCTCTAAGAAGGAGAGAGTGATGCTCGGTCTTGTATAAAAACAACTACCTCGGGGAGAGACGATTGAGGACAGTATAGTCGAGAACATTTGACTGGTCAGGCCTCAAGAAGAGGTCGGCAAAAAGGGGGATGGAGGTCGCCAGGATGATTTTGTGTGCTGAAAATACCGTATCCTTGATCTGCAAGGAGAGGAAACAAATGAATCGGCATGCAAAGAGCGCAGCTTACCATGAAGGTGAAATCACACAGCTTTTCCGAACGGCGAAAGTGGTCAAATTTAGCAAACCTAGGAAAGGATTAAAAAAAGAGATTTCAGTAAACATATGCAAAAACAAGGTGGTCTGCTTAGGTGTTGGAATACACGTCATTAGTGGTCCGTCGGGAAATGACGTAATTAAGCTTTCGAATATTCAAATGAATGTTCTGCTTGTATTTGTAAAGGTTGGCACCTATGTTGATTCGGTCAGTCTTGAAACCACACGGCAGTAGACTAGTGTGTTCATGGCTATTCGAAAGTATATCAGGCTCATCCACATTACCACTACCACGACAGTGGTGATGCCGACTCGAGCAGGGATTACTAGGGATGACGAAGTTGGTGAGTTCACCTTCGAGTCAACTGAATGCGTGAACAAACCATCCGAGGTGGTGACATTTGACTGCCATACCTGCTAGAAGCGTCCCTAGTCGGCGATAGAACCTCACACTCGAGAAGTCGTCAGTTAACTGCAGTATCACTATGCCCTGGAGACACCGGTTGTCAAAAACCCCTCTTAAGACTGAGTATTGCGCCCGTAACGCACAACGGTTTTGATCGCAGCTTCAAGTACTTCAGTCTCCGTCACCTCGCGGCGAGACGACGAGCACTTCCAGAGTCTAACAACTTCGTGTAGACACAAGGGGATAAAAAAGTGAGGGTGCAAATGTTTACCGTTGCTGAAGGAGAGCCTCCAGGTCTGTATTACCAACCATTGACGGCAGGAAGTCCTCGGTTGCCACAGCACTGGCTTCCGGCTTGAGACCGGAGTACGCAAAGGTGAGAAGGGTCTCAAGTAACTCACTAAACAAAATATGTCGGTAAACGTGTCATGTTATGACCAGCGTTTTTCCTTCGAGGGTGGAATGAGTGTAGTGGTCGTCGTCGCACATATCCTCGCAATATCGTCGTAACGATTGTGGGCAGTCTAATTTGGGGCAAAGTCGGCTCACTTCAACCGCAGTATGATCCTTAGGCTGTAGTAGTCAAATACCCGTTTATCTTCCTTCATATTCTACCCGCAAAGCCCAGCATTTAGACCCATAGAGGAGGAATGACCGTACGGGTCCACGGTACACGCGAATCTTGGTGGCGATGGAGATATCGCGTCGGATCCATAGGCGCTTTCGGTGGATTGACAATTCCTGGCGAGCAGCATCGACTCGGGAGAAAATGTCACTCTTACTTTGTCCATTCCGCAGCAGTCTTGCATTGAGCCAGTGAAATAACCAGTCGCTTGGCTGAGAGCCTTAGCTTGTGTCCCCGCAAGCTGACAACAGACCCTGATTGAGTTCGTGAGTTTCATCAGCATGCTATTATCCTTTACACTCCTTTTCCAATATTCACACCACATCGATCATGTTGGGTGACTACCCGGTGCTGTAAAGATTAAATTTCTAAATACCTTGGCGTATCGCCAATCGTCTACAACTTGAATGATTTTAAATGTGTGCAGGATGCGCGTACAAAGCCTCAGTAGAAGTAATTACGAACGACATCAGCGTCCAGTAAATCAAGGCAATTCGTAACACCTCGATGATAGCGGCCGTCATTTTCGTTGAAGGAGAGTCTGCGAATATCCAGGTGTTGGGGTGGGGTGGCTTTCGGAAATATCATGAAATACAGGCTTAAATTGTCGTTAATCACAGTTCCACTTCTTAGCGACAGTGGATGACTGTAGTCGAATTAATTCACGTCAACTGAGTGACGGGCTCCGAGCGGGCACAAAAAAGTGAAGCCTAGAATCAGTTATAGGACTGCTAAAACAGTTATCTAAAGAAGCAAGTAAGGGAAAAGGGAGGGCAGTTATGGACAAAAGGGAACATAAGAACGTGAGGATGCAAATACTTACCGTTGCTGAAGGAGAGCCTCCAGGTCTGCATCACCAACCATCGGCGGTAGGAAGTTCTCGGTTGCCACAGCACTGGCTTCCGGTTTGAGGCCGGAGTACGCAAAGGTAAGAAGGGTCTCAAGTACCTCACTAAAGAAAATGTGTTATTTTATGACCAGCGTGTTTACTTCGAGGGTGAAATTGGTGCGGCGGAATTGTCCTCGTCGTCGTCGTGACAACCGCTGCCATCAAACAGCTGCTCGAAGTAGGGTATTGAGGCAGCCAAAACAACTTTGTGTGCAAAGTAGGATTTTCCATCCACCTAGAGTACGACATATAAACCCTAACGCAGGTGTGGAATTACCTCGAAGGCAAAATCACACAGCTCTTTGCGATTACGGATCTCAGCGAACTGAGCAAAGCTGTATTCAGTGAAGGTGGCAGCTGTGGCCATTTTTTTGTTTTGACGTCAAAGGTATCCGTTTATGCTTGAAGTGGTGTGCGACAAATGAAGAATGCTGTCAGCAAACATTTTTTAAAAGGTCAGTGATTTTATGACTCACAACCGGATACACGTCAACTTAAAAGTTGTCATTTTTTTTGCATGGGGAAGGTGCTCTTATAATCGAGGCTATATCTAATTCGGAAACCTTAAATGTTCGTTGGAAGTGGGAGACAGGTAGGCGTATTTTAGACGGGT